CCTCTCCTCTCCCCTCTCCTCTCCCCTCCTCTCTCCTCCTCTCTCCTCTCCTCTCCTCTCCTCTCCCCTCTCCTCTCCTCTCCTGTCCTCTCTGTGTTCACTTCCTGTAGTTCAGTCAAAGTTTCTCCTCCTTGTTGTCACATGACTGTTGGTCTCAGATGAATCAATCATGACTTCATAGTTTCTCTGAGGAGCTCGCACTGTAATGTTTTTATAAGATCTGGTTAAAGTCAACGCTTTATTAGAGGAGAGACTTTATAATGACAACATGAAGAATAAAATGGTTTTATGAAATATCACAATTTTAAGCTTTGTTTTGGCTGCTTTTACGGACGGAAGTGTTTGTCGTACATGATGTGTTCAAGGACCGTCGGAAAGATGATAATCTGACGATAATGACGTTTTTTTACAGCTTTGGACTTTGATAAACGGTGTAGTTTTGGCGATTGTTTAAAGAAAACATGCCGAGTTCAGAGGGTTAATTAAATTACGTGTGACATCAAATATTATCGTCTTTTTAGTGCAAAACTCCCGACTCTTGTTTCCTCAACACAAATACGAAATTTTGTAAAAACATGAAGAGAGCTGCGGATCTTTAAATGTCAGGTGATGGTTCACAAAATGAGTGAGTGATTGTTCAGGAAGTGAAATGTTGTTTTCACTCTTTTGAGTTTATCTGTGACGTGGTTTTCTCACTCTGATGCTCGTCTGCAGCAGAACCAGCGGGGTCGATGGGAGACCTCTGGACGGCGTCCGCAGCGTGAGGATGCAGCAGGACACGGAGTTCGAGTCGGACGGACGCACCATCAGATGCACCGAGGTGACTTTAAAGGAACCGAGTCTTTTGCACCCGATGAACGTCGTGTTTCCAGGTTTTAGTTGACGGTCCGGGTCTCTGAATGTCCCTCCAGGTTTTCTACCAGCTGACGACTCCCGACTGCAGCCTGGAGTCGGTGCTGTCGTCCTGCAGCGTGTTCCAGAAGGAGATGGCTTTGGCCGCCTGCAGCGCTCTGACTCCTCACCTCGCCGTCCTCACGTCCAGCGGCATCAACTCGCTCTCGCTCCGCATCTCCACACAGGCTGATATGGTAAAAACAATCTCTTATTTATCACCGGAGCTGCACCGAATGTCTTGTAATTATCTATAAACTCATATCTCATATTCATAAACTACTTTATACAAACCCTGTAAAGTATGAAATGTATTATAAGGAAACAAAGGTTGAATATCTTGTAAAGTATTTGATTTGGCTGCTAAATATTTACTCGCATGTAGATTTATAAGACCTCCTGTTTCTAAAGCATCTCAACATGAATTCTTCTTCTTTGTATCATCAATAGAAATGTAAATGGTGTTTATTTCTTCCTGCTCTGCTCTCAGGTGGAGTACCAGGCCGGCTCCGGAGGTCGGCTCCTCCCTCAGCGCTACATGAACGAGCTGGACGGCGCTCTGATCCCCGTCATCCACGGAGGTAGTGCTAGCGTACCGCAGACCGCCATGGACATGGAGTTCATCTTCTACATCACACACGCCATCTAAACTCGCACTCCTCTACAGTATTAAGAACAGAAAAAGTTCAAGTTTGAGCACACAGAGAGAGAGAAGCTGCTGACGTTTGGCGCGACATGCTAATGCAGCAGCTCGTTTATTTGCACAGTTGGACATGCAGCCGGTCACAGAGGACGAGCTGCAACATTCCCCCTCTGAGGTTCGGGATGTTTCCATGTTTGGACGTAAACTGACATGATGTTCAGTTCTTAGTTGTTGTTTTTTTTGCCCTCACCAAAGCTGCTTTAACACAAGAAGCCAAACACTAAACACAGATTACGACATGACCAAATACAACCAAACCGTTTCTTCTTCTTCTTCTTCTTCTTCTGCTCGGCCTTCCAGACTCCGTCGGCTCGGAGCACCTCAGTGAATGTTTCCCCCCCACGGACTCTCATTTGGATGTATTTATTATATTTTAATATGGGCTCATTGAATGAAATGATGATATGAAAGCAAAGGGGATGATACCGGCTGCAGTATTCAGTGCTACGGAGGTGAAAGCTGCTGATCGGGTCATTCCATACGATGGTTTCTAATGACACCGGGCCTCCTGCAAGAACATGTACTGTGTTCACATCGGGAAGTTCTGCTCGTGCGATTATTTAAAGCCACGTTCACCAAACTCTACTCAAACTTGTGCATTTTGGACGACAACGTAATGAAACTTCATTTAAAACGTCTTTCTGCCGTTTTTTATTATTTATGTAGCCTTTGATTTCTGCTACGGTGCTAGCGTATGCTAGCTGCTGCCGTATGCTAGCTGCTACTTCATGAGCAGCGCAGCGTCCTCTGGCATCGATGACCAGAAGGTCAGCTCAATACCAATGATTTTACTTTAGGAGATTTTACGATGTCTGCTAAAGTTTTTGAGATGAGAGTTTGCACAGCTGATGAGAACTTTCCGTCACATATTATGGCTCTTCATCTCACAGAATAACATTTTTTTTTTCATTCTTAAGATTTAGCGATTATGAATGTACAGACTTTTTTAAAAAGTCTTAAATTTGTAGTTAGATATTTTGGGATTTATGCTTCTTGTCTTTGTTGCCGATAGTTCAATCTGCCGTCGGAACCGATGAAGAAGTACGCGGAGAGCGAAGAGAACAAGTGTTGCACTTGCATTTTGGCCGGCGACTTTATGAAGAGTCGGTTGTAGAAAACATAAACAAAACATCTGATCAGTTATTATCTGAGGATACGAGAGGACAAGAAAGCCCGTAAACCAATTATGAAACTATTCAGAGATGCAGAATGGAATCGGCGCAGACAGGATGTAGGAGACGTAGGCGGCGTTGAAAGGACGTAGTTGCTGTCGACGGGACGTAGGTGACGTTGACGGGACGTAGTTGCTGTCGACGGGACGTAGGTGACGTCGACGGGACGGAGGTGACGTCGACGGGACGGAGGCGATATCCAGCTCTCAGGTGTAAAAATACTTTAACTCTCAGCAAATGCGAATAAGCAGGTTTCCCAAAATATTGAACACAAGGCTTTAATGCTCTGAGCTCAGCAGGAGTCGTCTCAGGTGTTGATTAGAACAAGAACCCAAAGTATTCTAACAAACCGACCGCTTCCATGTTTAGAGTTGATTTGAATGTGTTTTCACATCAGAACCATTCAAACAGCTCACAGGACGTTTCTTCTCCAGCTTCTCAACTATTCACTAAATTCAAACATGGTGTGTAGAAGGTTCCTTGAAGCACTGAGAGGAAGAAAAGAGAAAAAACACCGGACAGTTCATTTCATAAAATGAACAAATGTAATATATCATGTTAAATATATCGAAACCGTAGATTCAAAGCATAAAGAATGTGTAGGTGAAGGTGTTAAAATCTAAATAAAAGCATCCGTCAGCTTTTTATACCGTTGATTTAAGAATGTCTTGATGATTACAGAAGAGACGTTTCATATTAAGAGACTCAGAAATGAATCAGTATTGAAATAATTGACAAAACAATGAACTGTTTTAATGATTTAACTGAGAACAAATGATTTCTTCTAGATGTTTTTGGTGAACTGTGGCACAAGTCAAAATATAAGGAAGCATTTGAAATCCCCCCCCAAAAAAAAAAACACCCGTAAAGCAAACGAGGGAAAGTGGGCATGTTGTAACAGCTGTGCAAACACCTCAAACATGCTCACAGAGCTGTTCAGGACGTCGGTCTGAGAACTCGCCACGTTTGTTTTATGATTTAAACTTTGAAAGCAGAATCATTGAACTCGTTCTCCTCGTTATACATCGATCAGGGCGGTGACCTTCATGGACGTAAATTATTATATTTTTTTCTCTGTCGGATCAAAACAACTTTACAAAGTTTTCTTCTCTTTTGTGTAAACCGTCTATTTGAACCTGGTATCTGGGTCCGAATCATCCGAACAACTCGAGTATTTAAAGAATAAAATGAGTTTTATGAGACGGTGTTTGTTTGTCATCTTTTTATCTCAGAAATCTTTTGTCTTCAATGAATTTGATTCAGATTTCTACTTATTTCAAAATAGTGCAAAGATCAAACCCACACCTGTTTTACTCAAGTATTGTACTTAAGTACAATTTTGAGGTACTTGTACCTCATTACATAAGTATTTCAATTTTCTGCTACTTTATGTTCTGATGCATATAACTCAGAGGGACATATTGTTCTCTATAACTCCACTATACGTATTTAATAACTTGAGTTATCTTGCAAAATATACAACACAAAATATGATCAACAAATAAATGATGTGTTCTTATAAATTAATCTACCAGCAGGAAATTAAGTCATATATATATATATTTATTATTATTATTATTATTATATATATATATATATTATTATTATTATTATTATTATTTATATAATGTTGAGTACTTTTACTTTTAATTATATTTTGATAAACAGTTTTATTTCAGTACTTGAGGCAAATAACATTAGACAATACAAAAATAAAATACTATAATTACAGATAAAAACAATAACGGTAATAAAACACATTGCTAGTAATAATAAAACGCTTTTATTTATGTAAAAACTTTAAAAGCATGACTTTTATTTTGTACATTACTTTGGCCCATTCCTGCCAATGTGATGAAAACAAACAAACATCCTGTCATTATTTTAAAATACTTTAATGTCTTTAATTCTAAAAAAGAAAAAGAAAAAAGTTTTTTATTTATTTATTTTACTGCAGAAATGGGCGTGTGTGTGTGTGTGTGTGTGTGTGTGTGTGTGTGTGTGTGTGTGTG